TTGACTAGCGAAGTCCCTTCCTTGTTATCAAGAGTCAAGTGTATATTGTAAAGGGGGAGGAGTTGTTGCTATTGTTAGCTCTTCTTGGGATTGTTTTTTGTGAAAAGAGTTTTTTTTTAGAAAATTACTATAAAAGGAAATTTTCTGAAATTTTGAGGATCAGCGGAAAGAGTTTTTTTTTTTATAACTTTTTTGTGTTTCCTTTTAGAATATCCTTCTTTTTCCTAACTATCTAAAAAATTTATTTATCTAAAATCTTGATTATTTTCTTGTGACTATCTGAGATACTTATTGTCTACTCAGATTTAATATCTTGCTCAACTCTTTCTTTCTTTTTGATTTTGATTTTATATTTATCTGTATAGAATAAAATAACTAATAATAAACCTCAATTCGTATATGACTTTTAAGTCTTGTTATGCAACTTTTAATATTTTCTAACAATTATACTTAGTTAAAGAAATTTTATTAATATTCATCTTGATTATAATATTATTATATAATATCTGATAAAATATATTCTTAATCCTAGAGAAGGGTAATGTTTTACATTTCTCTGCTTTTTAGTCTTACAGTCTGATCAGAATAAGAAAATAACCTTCTTTATATACTTTGCCTGATTGGAATAATAAGAAGTTGAAGGCCTCAATTTAAACAAATAATCATCTTTTTATTACTTAGAAAATTTAGTGCTTATTCTAATAGTTTTATGATTTTTTTGTTTCGGTTACATTTTATTTGGAGAAGTAAAGAAGTTTGTATTAGTAATTTCTTTTTCTTTTATCAATAACATTATTAATATATAATATAACCAATAGGAGCTTAAAATTTAAAGTCAAGCTGAAATAGACAAAATTCTTCAAAAACTTTGAAAAATAAGTAACTTCAAGAAAGTAGAAACAGTAAAGAGAAAAGTTTTATAGTTTAGACATAAGTTTGTCTATCTATTTACTGCACAAAACCTTTAATTGCACTCTTGCTTTAGGAAATAGGCTTTCGATACTTTACTATTGGTTTTTTTTCTTTTTAGAACTTTTTTGCCATAGGTAAAAAAGGTATTTTTTGACTTTTCTTGATTATTGGAAGTCAAGTTTTTGTTTGAAAATGAATATAAATAAAATAGGGGAGTTGAAAGGAACTCTTGAAGTTATCTTTCAAGTTGTTTTAAGGAAAGTAATAAGACTTTATTAGCAGAAAAGTATAAAACTTTTTTGCAAATATTTTTTTTGTATGTCATCAAGGGATTAGTGGAAAGAGTTTTTTTTAACAAGTAAAAATCTATAATATTGTAGTTAATTATACTGTATATATATATATATATTTTAAATATTCAACTAATGGAAGTTAATTATATAAACTTTTCAATAAAGATTAAATCATATGAATAGTTGTTGGTTAAAAAAAAAAAAGATATATTAATTTAGTAAGCCACTGTATCCTGTATATAATTAGTATATTAAAACAATGGATATATTAGCAAGACTAAAAAAAAAAATGATAATACATTTATTTATAACAAGTTGAATAAGTTTTTTTAAATTACAATCAACATACTATGAATATATAATGTAAAAGTAATAAAAATGAAGTCAACTTCAGAGAAAAATAATTGATACTTATCATTTTGAAAGTTTTTCTTTTAACGAATATCATAATATTAAAAAAAATTTTTTTTTATTAGAAACCTGCAATAGGCATAACTACTACAAACTTAAAAGAAAAAAAAAATTTTTTTTCAAAATGATCGTCAATCCTTTCCGAAAAATACTACAGTGACAGTAATATCATCACGCCATCTTCTGGACATAGGTGCAGGAAGAGATAAAATTGCGCACAGAGCATCTTCGGAAGCCCCGCCAAGAGCATTACGTATCAAATGTGTCGATGCATTTTCATCTACAAAAGCAAACGCCTTTTTGGATTTACTCATAATCAACTCTTTTGAATCATCACCGTCTTTTCCATTCCTTCTCTCATCAATTAAACGTCCTACAAGTTCTATTACTTCTGTATTCGATAGTTTCTCCCAAAGTCCATCAGTGGCTAAAACCAAAAATTTGTCATCTGCTTCAATTTTATGATGTATAACTTCTGGACGTGCAATGACATAGGGCGGAGTCCTAAATTTATCATTTCCTGGAACTTTACGCTTTTCTTTGAAAAATTTGGTATATATGATTTCCTGTAAATTTCGATCCCACTTGTATCTTTTTTTGAAAATAATGATGTTAGTCATCTTTAAATATCATAGATGTCAAAATACTAAGTGACGAGGTATAACCTACTTTGCATCACCAAAGGCACGAGTGGGTTCCAACCCGCCAAACACTCTACCGTTGGTAATGATATTACTTTCTCCTGGATGTTCCTCACTTAACCTGCTTACTTCATTTTCATTTCTACCTGTCTGATCTTCACTTAACTGTAGTGCCTTCCACTCTCCAGTTGAGTCTTTGACACCCATAATTGCTCTTGAATCACCAGTACAGGCAATGTAAAGGTCATTTGTAGCTGTTTCAATATACGCCAATAATGCACACGAACCTGACAATGCTGATAACAGGCTTTCATTAATATAAGAAATTCCTCCTGGTTCGTTTGTTGGAGTATTCAATAATCTATCAATTGAATGAAAAACGATTTCCTCATCCAACTCAACGAACCCCTTCTGAATAGCTTTTTTAACCAATTCTCCTTTGTTATGAAATAATTTAGCATATTCACCACACCCATCATATGCTTTATTAAGTTGTTCTTTGACAGTCGGTACCAATTTTTTACTCAGTAATTTTGAAGTATTCCAGCCACTGTGTCCGTCAAATACTCCAAAAAACAATCTATCTCCATCATTTTTCGTGCTTGAATCGATTTCTTCGTATTTTGTATCTTCTATTGGACTATTTGATGCCAATTGATTTGTATCATACCGGTAGACGCCGTTATTACGGTGCAGCAAAAATGATAACTGATTTTCACGCAGCTTTAATGTAGCTTCAGTCGGAGAGAGAATTATCTTATGTTGTTGATTATCCAAATTATTGATTGGTCGTTTTTCCTTTTGAAAATAATAATAAATTGAACTACCGATTCCCGAAATGACTATTGAACCAGTAATATATCTTAGATATTTGACCTTTGAAGCTTTATTCTTGTCTAATGGTATTGAAAATCTATTGGAATAATGTTTATGGAAGTGATTATGCGTAACTGCGTTACGGGTAGTCGAAAGCCTTACGAACAACAGGGAAGAACCTTGAAAAATTCGATTCGTGGTCATGATTATGGAAAAAATACTCAGTGGCGATCATAAATAATGCAACGTGATTTTATGAGACTTAATAAAAAGAATTACATTGACCTTAACATAATGGCTAACTTGTCATTGTACATTATTAGTTAAAGGACTAGGTTACTTAAATAATATGAATAGTCCATTAAGCTTGTTAAAACTAAATAAAACAAAGCCTAACTAAGTACTCTAAGTTGAATTTAAAGGACTTCCTTAATAAATTAGTACTTGACCTCTATCTATTAGGATCATTGCCAATAAATTATCAAAATTTAAAAATATTGGATTAAAGATATTCATATAATATTTTTTTGGTTTTCAATTAATAAGGTTTTATTATTATTTCTAAAGCAATTTTTCAAGAATTATTATTACTTTTTTTTTTTAAAAAAAATAAATCAAATAATAATTTTATTATATATCTAAAGATTTTTTTTTAATTTATAATTATATTATTATAGTAATTTTTTTTTTTTTGAGTACCTATAGTCATACTAAATTGTAATTTATTAATTGATTGAAAACATAAGTATATTTTTATTTAAGCAACATGATATATACTATAATTAAATATTAATGTCAAATCTGACTAACTTGTCATAAACAATAATAGCTTTTAAGTTTGATCTTGAGAACAATATTTTACTTTATTAGTAGATTTTGAGTAAAAACTCTGCTAGTTCACTATTTTATTACCAACAGGTTTTTAATAATGAATATCTTACCAAGCTACTAAAATATAGAAAACTACAAAAAAATAGATTGAAAAAAGGGAAAGTGTATGTTTAAAAATGTTCAAATGGATTACAAAAAAATAAAAAGAAAAAAAAATTTTTAATTTCTTCAGCTTCCTTTAAAAATCTACTTTTTAAGACTTTTTCTCAATAAAAAATATTTGATTGAAATATCTTTTTTTCTTCTAATTATCTAAAAAACTTATCTATTCTTGATTTTAATTTTCTTTTTGTATACTATTTAAAAAGATTCATTATCTAATAGGAATCTTATCTTCAGAATAAACTTAGTTCCAATCTTCTTTAGGTAATAATTTTTTATTCACTTATGATAAACAGGAAACTTATGATAGATCCCAGGTTCTTATGTAACTCAATAAAAACTGAATCATATTGTTTAATAAGATATTTTCCAATAACCATACCTAGTTAAAGGAATTTTACTGATAACTATTTTCTATTATCCAAAAAGTTAGATTTTTCTAATAATCTTTATATCTTATAGTAATAAAAGAGTTTTAAAAGAGATAAGAATTCTTATTGATTACAATATTCTTTAACAATTTTGAAAAAATACATTTTTAACTATATCCAAAAGGTTGAAGCTTAACATGAACTAGAAACTATTCAATCTTATTGCTTGACTAAAATAAAAAAAAACCTTGATCTTAAACTTTACTTGATTAAAATGATAAAAAAGAAAGACTTTAACTTAAATATATAAATAGCTCACCTAGAAAATTGTTACTTGTATTTTATTGGTCTCATAGAATTTGATCTATAAGTTAACCTAATTGAAGGAGTAAAATAGAAATGAAACATCAATTAACTTTTCTTATCACTAATGATATCATTGAAATACATCAATAAAATCTTGTTTACATTTTGTTATCAATATATTTTATATTAACCAATCAGAAATCAGGTAATGTTGTGCTACTAGAAATTCAGGATCAAACTTGAGTAGGCAAAATTCCTTTAAAAAAACTATAAAAAACTAGAAACACTTTAAGAAAAACAAGAAATAGCATATGAAAGATAGATAATAAGCCTTTCTATACTTGAAAACCTCTATTTCTATATCACTTTTAGTTTGAAAAGTAACATTCCATTAGTTAATCATTTTATTTTCTAAAAACTTTTTGCTTTTAGTAGAAAAAGTATATATTTGAATCTATTTGGGCTATTAAAGACTCAAGTTTTTGTTTAAAGAAGTTTGTAAACAAACTTCTTTTTCTATTACAATAATTGATTGGTTCTTTATTATTACTAATTTTAAAGTGTTTGAGAGTTTCTATTGTTTAAATAATATGTTTGTTGCCTCAAATATTGCAATTTTCTTTTTTTTTCTCTTCTTTCTAAGTCTGTTCTTTTCTTAGAGTCACTTTCTATTTCTAAGTCTTCTTCAAATAATATGTAACAATTTGCCTAGATATTGTTTCTAATATTAGTTTGACCCAATTGTCTTGAGTACAGTTTGATCTATATTGTTTCAGAGTGGACTTTTTCTTAATTATTATTACTATTTTCAGTTTGAGCTCCTTTATTGCCTTGTATTGTTCCTTTCTCAAAGTGTTTCCTAATACTTCAGCTGAGTTTATCCCCATATATAAATATATAATATTTCAAAGTCGTATACAAATGTTCTGCTGTTGCAAAACAAACTACTACATATCCTCTTCTTTTTAAAGCGAATAGATTTCTTTATATATAATATACTTTGATCCTTGCATATTGTATTGCTCTTGTTATGAAACTTATGAAGATATTATATATTCTATATAATTGTAGAGACTAGTTATTATAATTTTTGAAAATAGTATCAACTTTGTGATTATCTGGTTCATGTTAGGTGAAAATTGTTCTAAAGATATTTGTTTTAATATGAATAAATCATCTATTCTTCAAGTCTTGTTAATTTGAAATGAATCATATCTTGATTCTTTGAGAACAAGAGTGGTTGTAAATATAGATAATTAAAACCTTTTTATATTTTTGCAAGATAATCTTAATTTCTTGATGAGTATAGTTATGGTCAAGATCAATCAATGTAACAATCACTATCTTGTTTTCTTCTTTTGCTACCTCTTGTTTGAAGAACTTTTTTCAAATAATGAATATATGGTCTCCCATTTTTCTGCTTATATAGGTTTTATTAATTGTTTTTTTTTTTTTTTTTTTTTAATTCACAATTATGTCACGATGGCTTGTCTTTATTGAAAAATTGAAGTAAATCTATAATATTTTATAGACTTTCACAAAGTGACTAATTTGTTTTCAAATAAAAGTACTCTAAATTGGATTCTGAAAACAATATTATATTCCCCTAATAGATTGGTAATAATTTCGATCCACCAGGATTATTGCCAACAGTTTGTCACTGTTGATTACTCGAAAACCAATAAATTGCCAAGTTAAAAAAAGAAAAGGGAAAAAACAATTGAAGAAAGGGAACAATTCAAGATCTACCAAAAAAATCTAAAAATAAAAACAACATCTTCTCAAAAGAGATTTGCCTGATTGAGTTAGTCTTCTTACTTCACTTGAATCTTAGAAAAAATTTTCTTTTTTATCACCTATAATATCAAACAAGTCAATTTAACTGGTCTTGTATTTAAGTGAGTACTGGATTGAAATATCTCAAGAAAAGCATTTAGACCTCAGCTTTATTCCATTAAAGCCTTGTCATTACTTGAGGAACTTAGGTAAGAGATGGGAGTTTGCAATCCACATTACCCATCACTTGGTCTTTTAATGTTATGGAAGTTTTCATTAAGGGACTTGAGCTTTTTGGGAACAAATGTTTTCAGAACTTCTTTTCAATCACTAATGATATAATCAGAACATATAAATATGATTAATAGAAGCTTGTTTATATTTTAAAAACTAATGTGTTTCATGTTAACCAATTATTTTTGGTGAGGATATATGCTATCCAAAATTCAAGATCAAACTGAAGTAGACAATTCACCAGAAAACTGTGAAAGTGGAAGCTCTAAAAGGGCCAAGACAATCAAAAAAGGAGAAAATAAGCTTTTTTACTGCAAAAAACCTTTATAAACCTCTTGCTTCAAAGATTAAATAGATTTTTAGGTACTTCACAATTAGTTCTTCTTTCTTTGAGAACTAATTTGTCATTGGTATCAAAGATGTTACTTGACTTTTCTTGGTCACTAAAAGTCAAGTTTTTGAGTGAAAAGTTTTGTAAACAAAAGAAAAAAGTTAAAGACGACTCTTGAAATTATACTTTAAGTTGTTTTAAAGAAAGTATTAAGACTTTATTAGCAAATAAGTGTAAAAACTTCTTGTGAACATCTTTTTTGTATATGATTAGAGAATTAACGGAAAGAGTTTATTATAGTTTTTATTAATTATATAATATACTATATATATATTGTATTTCTACAAAAAACTCTTTCTCGTAGATCCATGACTACCACTTCCAAAGAAGCGTCCCTCCAAAACTTTATGTTTTGAGAGTAATAAAACTTCAAAACTTTCTTTAAAAACACCTGCTTCACTTAGCAGCAGT